TTAAATAAAATAATTAGTATTTTATTAATATTTTAATAAGACAATTTTATTTATTTTTAAATTTTTATAAAAATTTAATAATTTTTTATTAAAATAATTACTATTTATATATTAGTATGCTTATAATACTTAAAAATTTTTATATATAAAATCCATTTTAGAGTTTTAATAAAAAAAATCATAAAAAAGATGCAAATCACTAACCCTTTCTAACAATCACTTGTATCAAATTTTCTCCAAACATAATTATTCTTTTTTTAATTTTTTATTAAGTAAAACTACTTTGGCTGCCTAAGTAAAATTGTTTCTAATAGAATTTTAAATATAGGCAGTTTAGTTTTATATTCTTAAAGACATTTACTACTAGTATATAATTAAACTTTGTAATTTTTTTCTTTTTGCAAAAACTTAAAAGTTTATTAAGTAAATCATAGTTGTTATATAGAATAAACTTGTTCAGCTTATTTTGGCTATCATTTTGATATATTATATATTATAAATAGTTTAAAACTAACAATTATATAGTAAAAATATTTCAAAACTCTCTTAAAAACTATATCTTATATTTGCAAAAAAAATTTTCTACTTTTTAGAAGAATTTTGGTTCTTTAGAATGCTCCAGACCTGAAGATCTAAATTACTAATCAATATTATTAATCTATTTATATAAATCTAATTTTGTTTTATCTATTTTTAATTTATTAATTTAGTCTTAACCAAATTATACAACTCTTGTTATACAGTAATTACATTAATTACTTAGATGTCATATTGGGTGTTATCTTAAACATTATATTCCCTTATTTAGTATATTCCTTATTTGTTACACCTCATAATTATTATATCCTTTATTTGTTATACTCCAATTTAAAAATAGCTCTAAAAAATGCCTACATTAACTAATTCTCAAGAACCAGATTCCTATGATATTGATTACTATTATTCTAAATATAAAGGCAGATATAGAGTTAGACTCCAAGAAAATAAACCTTAAGCATTATGTGTTCTACTAGTCTTCACTAAACCTGATATCTGTGATAAGAAAAAACAACATCATTATTTTAAAGTTCCTTTTTTACCTACTATTGCAATCTGTCTTTGTAGCAAGTTTTATACAAGCTTCACTTTTAAACACTACAAAATAAGTTAAACAACAATTATTCAACATCCAAATCCAACTCAAACTCAAATTAGAACTACTATCTCTGCACAAAGCTTTAAATTATTAGATGAACTACCTGCTTCTTTAATTTCTAAATTAATAAACCAAACATAATCTTTAATCTCTTTTTCTTCTTCTTTTTCAGCATATCTTCTTTTTCCAAACTTCAAACCTAATTTAGCTCCTACAATCATAATTGCTCATTCTTAATGCTATCATATCTGTTTTCTTTGTAAAGTTAAAAATATTTAATGTGTTTTTATAGATAACCAACATAATTATGTACCAGACTACACAGTAGCATATATCTTTAAAGGCTCTCTAATTTATTGATCTTGCATATCAAAGATACTAAATATTGAATATAAACCTTTTTATTCAACTTCATTAAATTCAGATCACAAAAAAATTGTTATTCTTTATAGACTTAGTACTATGTTGACAAAAGATAAAATAGGATAGTAGTAAATAACTCTTTTTATAGATTACTTATACCAAAATTACAAAAAAACATTTGATTATTTTTCAACTTTCTACTAAATAAACCTTATTTGACCTCTTAAGTAAAGTTGTTTAGCACACTTTTCTCCTTCTAGGTGGCTATGTTTTATTTTTAAATAACACTTATTACTGAGAAAAGATCCAAAAACTAAGTTTTTAGTTTTTGCTCTTTTACACATAATTTTACTAATTAAACCTATCTTTATATCTATTCAGAAGTTGTTCAGCTCACTAAGATGAACTTTTAATATATAATTTATTAAAAACAAACCAAAACTCACAGAGATACAACCAAAAAAACAAAAACAAAAACTTGCTCTTTGCAGGTTTTTTTATTGGCAATTTTAGGAAAACTTGCTGAGTTGCTCCAGAAATTTCATTTTTCTGATACCTATTAAAATTTCCTAAACATCCAATCAGCTTATCTGAAACCTAAGCTCTTTTCAAAACTTCTCTAAATTGTTTAGAAACTCTTAAATAAACCAAATTTTTCTAAAAAATATATTTAATAATCTATTTTTAGATCAAGATGCAAACCCCTGTAACAACTACACCTGATACCATTGATCTTGGCTATTTTTATCAGAAGTGTCCTAAAAGCTTCATAATTGGTATCCATGAGGATACACCAACTTCATTTTGTCCTATTCCTGCTAACAAACAATCTAAAAATTGCAATATTACTGAACTTAGAGGAAGCACCAAATGCAGTCATTACTTCAAAGCACCTGAATCTAGCTTTGTTGTTACATGCTTTTGTGACAAATACCATACACACTTTATCTTAACAACTAACCAAACCTACAAATAACATGAAACCACAAATGTCATCAAAAAACTTAAAGATCAAAAAATCTTAGCATACACAATTGCAAATACTACTGAATTTGTTCTGCCATCACCTACAGCATCACCTTTACCTATTATACATAATCATCTCTGTGCTAAATGCAATCTACCTATTGCCTGTAAAGAAATAAATAACCAACATTACTTGGCAACTGATGCTACTTTATATAATTATAAACTTTACCACAAAGCCTGTACTAGTACACAACAATTTGCTCAACAATCAAGCTCTTCTCCTACTTTTATTTAAAAATTTCAACAAACAATTAGCTCTTACAATCCACTCACATTTGAGCTTACCTTTACAACCTCACCTAACAACAATAGCAATACTACAAATAATATGGATCTTGACAATATTACTACTAACAACAATAACAACCAACAACATTAACAATAACATCAACAATGCTATATCAAACCTACCTCACTTTAATGAACAATAGCAACAAATAAGTAAACAACAATAACAGCAACAAACAAGTAACTAATAACAACAGTTATTACAAACTAATACTACTACCAATCAACCAAAAATTAAAGCCAACTTAATATTTGACTGGCTTGCTAATTTTCTAATTTCTGATGATATGAAGAACAAATCACAACTTCAAACAGAATTTTTATGAAAAATTTCAACTTTCTCAAATTCTACCTATATAATTTCTATCTTGGTAAAGAAATCAAATCTGAAACTCCTAAGCAAAAAGCCCTCAAAGCTAGCTTTTATTACATTATCCCAAAAATGGCTAGAGACAGACCTGAATTTCTTATTGAATTCATTTAAAAAACCAACCCCAATACTGACAAAGCAATTACTATTCCTTTCAACATACTTAAAGAAACTCTTAAAAACTTATTCTAGCATTCACAACAATTCTTTTCACAAAACTCAACTATTTCAAAATCTTTGCCTCCTTAGCTACTATTCTCTCTTATACTAACCAAAACCATATCCAACTTTGTATTAATCTAGCTTGCATTCACTTATATCTCTCAAACAACTATCAAGCAATTGATTACATCAAATTTGCTGAAGACTTTCAACTTCAACCTAAAAGATTTAATATTATATCAAAAGTATCTGACTATAACAAAGAAAAGCAATATGTTATAATTAGATCTGATAGCAAATTTAATATCTACCTTGATTTTAATATTCCAAAAACATTATTTCACCAAAAACTCAATATTCCATCTTTTGCAAATTCTTTAGATCATTTAAAACAATGGCTTAAATAATTTTTTCCAACATACAACTGACAATTTACCCAAACATTAGATGAAACCAAAGTTTTTTACTCTTTAAAATACCAAATCTGACAGAAAATTATCTTTTATCTTAAAGTAATCTTACTACTAAAATACAATTTTAACAACCTTACAATTTACAAGAATGTCGAAATGAAACAATAAAATTAGCTAACTTTTATATTCTTACTTGCACAGATAAAACTTGTTCCTACTTAAAAAAAACAGACTCTAAAAACAAAGGAAAAGAACCAGAAACTACAAACCCATCCACCACAATTCCCAACCTTCAATTTTAACATAACTTCTCACAATTACTAAATAATATTTTTAAAAAATCATATGTAAACTTTTCAAAACAAGAAAATGAAGTTTGCAAACAACCTAAAATTGACCTATCTATATTCTACAAAAACAGCAAACATGAAGCATCCTTTAACAAACAAATTCCTACATCTTTTCTTGATGAGCTTGTAACAGAAATAGAAAAATCTGCTTGCAAAATCAACAATGTTTTAACCAAACCTAAACGTCGCAGCTACTACTTTTATTTATATCTTAATTTATATCAAAACATTGCAGCACAAAACCATCATATCAACAAATTTGACAAACACAAAGCAGTAGAACTTATTACTTCCAAACCTACTAGCACTGAACTATTGGCAAGAGTTTTAACATTCTTTAACTTTCTTGACAAATCTCTAACATAACTACAAATCAATACTTATTACCAAGAAACTGCCTATTCAGAGGCAAACAAAATATTATAAGACAAATTCAAAATGTCATACTTAATACCTTTCTTAATTGAAGAATTTCTCTTTCTTAAGGAAACCCTTTTTCAATAAATCTATCTTTTACAAATCCTATAGATGCAGCTACCACTTTGCCAAGAAATACACTCTTAGTAGTTGGCAAGAAAAATGATATAAGTAGGCAGGCAGTAAAGCCTATTTATATGAAGGACCAAGTTAATGATGATCAGACCCAACTAGAGTTGCAGATGAAACTAAACTATAATGGTGCACTAATTTCACCAATCACTGATTACCAATTAGCATTGGTAAAACTGATTAAACTGATAATACTGGTGAAACTGATGAAACTCGTAATACTGGTAATACTGATGAAACTGGTGATACTGGTGATACTGATAAAACTGATAAAACTAGATAATACTGGTGAAACTAGATAATACTGGTGAAACTGATAACTGGTAATACTGGTAAAACTGATGATACTGGTAGAACTGAGTAAAACTGATGATACTGATAAAACTGATGATATTGGTGAAACTGGTAATACTTGTGATATTGGTAAAACTGGTGATACTGGTGAAACTAGTAATATTGTTGATACTATTGATATTGGTAATACTGGTGAAATTGGTGAAATTGGTAAAACTAGTAAAATTGGTAAAATTGGTAATACTAGTGTAGCGAAATTGCACAATATATAGTGCGTCTATCTGGGATATATAGTTGGATACATTAAACAAATAGAAAAAAAAAACTGTTTAAGTCAAATAGAGAGAAAGACTTTGAAGCGATTGGGTATCATGTGCTCACATGATCATCAATATGGATCAGATCATAAGATTGGGCATATGAGAATAAAGTAATAAATTAGTGACATATAAATTAGATAAATCAGTGATGTGCAAATTAATAATCAATGCATGAAAAATGTTGTAATAGGGTTTATGTAAAATGGCATAATTAGTAAGATAATTAAAAAGTCAAATGTGTGTGATCGAAAAATGATGTAATTAGAACAGTCAAAGTGAGTATAAGTAAAAAAATAAAACAATAATTAGAAAGTGCTTTTTTTCTAAAAATAATACATTCTAACATAGTATTTTGAGATACTTATCTGTTACAACCCAAGTGGTCTTTGACTTAAGTGAAGCTTGACCTTTGAGCAGATATTAGTGATGACAACTACTATTAACATTAACCCCTTCGACACTAGTAAAATCGGTAAAATAGTGATACTGGTTAAGCTTTATAGACAAATATTTGTCTGATTAGCATATGTAAGTTAATTGTCCAGATAATTTATTTATACACTTTAAAGTACTTTTTGAGAATTTAATGTTTTACTAACAAAGAACTTTACTTAGCAGTAAATGTTTTTACTATATATTGCTAGTGCTAGCTATATTAACTATATATAAGTTCTAAATACTGTAAATACTGGAAATGGCTAACAAAAAAATAAGATTGTGATGTTACATATAAGTATTAAACTTAAAAGAACTTTGTGTATATTGTTTAATATGCTATTATAATAACAATAGGCTTGTAATATTACTAATGCCTATATTTTACATATTCTCCAAATATTATAAAGTTAAACTATTAGAGTAGTAAGCATTAAGTAGTAGGTCGACAACATGTATAGGTGTTATTGTTTTTTTAATTATATGGAATAAAAATTATATCATATTTCTAATAAAGGCATAGGTTGTAATAACTAATAATAAGATAGAATTATTTTATTATTACTTCCAAAATATAATAAATACAAAATAAAGAACAGCTTCGCTAATACTTCACTAATAATTTATTCATGTATTAGTTGATTTAATTGGTTAATCACATTTTGAATTTTGCCAATTAGCCAATCATATAAATATTTTCTATGAGGTAAAGCTGGTAAAATTATGATATTGGTAATGCCAATGATTAGTTATACTATTAATGCTGGTGATGCTGAATAAGCTAGTGGTATTAGTGAAATTGGTACTACTGACACTAATAATATAATAATGATTATCTTAATGTACTTACTACATCATCTCAAAATAACACTCTGGAGTGTTATTCTGAGAAGCTTAATTTAAAATGAGTCAATAATTAATTTAGCCCAAGATGTTTTTAAACTTTAATATTAAATAAATAATAAAGTTTTAAAACAAATCTTCTATCAAATTAATTATTGGTTCATTTTAAATTAAGCTTCTGGAAGATGATATAGTGTTTAAGTTTGGCCTTAAGTTTGCTTTTTTCATATTATAAAAAATATTTTAATGAAAAATTTAATGTTATATATAAGCTTGAACTCATTTTATTTTCTGATGGCATCTTGATGCTGTCGGTGAATGAATTGAGTTTAAGATATGTTAATCAGGGATCTGCAAAATCTGTGATATAATTTAACAGATTATGTTTTTGATATCAGTAAATTATTTAATTTACTGCTAATTAGCAATAAAACTATGAATTTAATAAAAAAACTTGCTTTTACAAAAAATGTTGCATTAAAAAAAAATTTGCTTTTTATGCACAAATATATAGTCTATAATATTTTTATTTTTTTGAACTAGTGAAATATAAAATATTTTATTATATTTGCTAAAAATATCACTATATATACTTGATAAATACATTTTCTATAATCGAAGCAAATTGAAACAAATCACAGTAAATGATATACTTTTTGTGATTTGCTTCAGTCACAGTAAATCACAAAATTTACACATCCCTGGTTAACTTTTTAATGAATTGTATTGTTCATTTCATTCTCTGATGGCATCTTAATGCCATTGGAGAACAAACTGAGTCTAAGATGTACTGTAATAGACTTTATATAACATAGTTATTCGATGTTTTGTACAATTATTAGACTTTATCGTTAAAGTTCAATCATATCTGTCCAGACTTCATAAATAGAAACATTAATCAGGGTCTGATTCTTGAGTTACAATTGTTTTTGAATGATTTATTGGTCAATTCAGTTAAGTTAATGATTTGGCATGATCAGTGTATTTTAATGTGATAATTGTTCTACAAATAATTTTATCATTATAATGTTGATACACTCAACATTGTTAAGATTGAAAAAAAATATAAGGCTCTGAATATAAATTAAACTTTATAGTAAACATAGTACATATATAAATACTAATATTAGAAAAGTTAGATACAATCAAATCTGGTTTAAAGTATAACTCAAGATCAATATTTTAATATTTGCCTAAAATGTGCTACGAAAGTTTCCCAATATATCTATATCTTGGAAACTAAGGCTGCAGGTGAAACTGATAAAACTCCTGGTAAAACTGGTGAAACTTAATATAACAGCAAATCAGATTTCAGATAGTCATCAGTTTCATCAGCATTATTTAGTTTCACCAGCATCTATATTGAAAACTCAACTTATAGAAGATTTACTAACACCTAAGTGTTTAGTAATTTTTCGAACTGATAAGCCCTTCAAATTTTTTTTTATTTGCCAATAAAGATGTTTTAAATCAATATATATATATAGCCTTATAATATATTAGTCATCTGATCTTAAATTTCAATTTATCATTATTGAATCTATTATGCTGAAATTAATATAATAACACGTAATTTAGAATAATAACAGATATTGCATGAGTGCTTTTCCAATTCCTTAATTACATAATTGACACAAATGGTATACAGAGATGGCACTTTCCACATTTGGATTTTGTCTGGAACAGACTTGGTGTTGGTCTCAAAATGTTTGCATAAAGTTGACTTCAGGACTAGCTTAGCTAAATATGATCAATAGCCAAGTTTTTTAAACAAAAATAGCTAATTGCTCTTTTACAATTAGTATGAATAATCAGTAAATTATGTGAAATATTTTGCATATTACCATTGTTTCACAATAGCAATATGCAGAGTTTACAGAATTCATGAATTAAATAGGTGTTGCATATATATACAGTACTATGTAGAATTATGATGTATCAATATCGATATAGCATACATAATTATTCTGCAGATGATGCTAATACTAAATAATCGATTATAATAAGACAGTATAATGATAAAAGTGTTGAATTCTTGTAACCATTGTGTATTATGCAAATATAAGACTATATATTCCTTAATTATATTATTATTAATGACATTCTTTTATCTTTTTAAATTATATTATTTGGTTTATGAAGGTCAATTTCTTTCTAAGTTACTACTGTAAATTGCTATATATAAGACCCTTTATAATAGTAGATCCACCATGTAATAGACCTGAGTGCAAATCATGGGATCTATATTAATTAAACACAGTTTTTTTCAGATATCTAGACAGCCTATTATAAATTCAAAACATGCATATTCTTTAAATTTTTCTCTTAATGACATGAACTCTTAGCTGCATACTAGACCCAGGTCTATTATAGATTTAAAATTAGTGAAATGTAAGAGACCCAGGTCTTGTATATTGGTAATTTACAGTATTAAACTAATTATAACAATTGTTTTTTACTTGTTTTACAAGAGTGATATTGTTTATTCCTAACTAAAAAAGTTAGCTTGAAAGAATATTGAACATATTAAAATATTTTCTAACAAAAATATGAAAGATAAAAAAAAAACTATTGAAAATTCTATTGTTGCATTTTTTTTTTGCACTATTATCTTCAGCATTATAATTACCTTTTCATAATTATGCATTTTGGTGACATTATATAAAAATTTTAATATAGATATATCATATTGTCACAAAACAATATTACATGCATTATTTTAAATATATGCATGATATTTGAAATACACACATGAGCATCATTTTAAACAAAGCTAATTTTTCTGAGCCTGAATTTTCAAATTATTATATACCTAGAATGATATCTTATATAGAATGCATATTATTTTAGAACATGCATAGGCGTTATTTTGAAATCATTTATACTATTCTCATATGTATAATACAATTGTTTATATCTGTTATTTCATAACAATATGGTATATTAATACTAGAGCATCTAGACTTATATGATTTTAGAAATTTTTTATTGTTCAAACAATAAACAATTTCTGAAATCGCGTAAGTTTAAACACTCTAATCAATAAAATTTACATATATATATCATATTTCTAATTACTTTTAATATTAAAAACTTTATATTAGCATTTAAAAATATGACTGATCAGACATATGATCATACAAGTCCAAATAATAGTGAAGTTACAGCTTTATAAGATATTTCAAGTGCTTCTGAAGAAGAATATTCTGATCAAGTAGAATTATTATCAACACACAAAAAAAAAAAAACATGCTGGAGAAAAAAAGATAATAAAGTATAGAATAATGTTATTAAAGGTGATAATTTAGAGTAGGGATTTTATAATGCAAAGTGTAAATGGTATGTTACAAGTTGGTTAAGAGGATGTCCACATGAAATGAAAGCTCATTTAGCTAGAAACTGTGATAATGCATCTGAAAATATAAAAATAAAATGGTAAAACTATTTAGCAGAAAAAACTTCAAGACCAATAGCTCAAGCAAAAAGTATAAGGCAATTAAATATTACTACACATTATCAACAGATTACACCTATCTCCAATACTAAGGCTAATGAACTTGATCAGGCAATTCTTAAAGCATGGGTGTGTTGTGGATTTCCTTTTTGTACAATAGAAAATCCATTTATTATTGATCTTTTAAATTTGCTATTCTGGGATATACTTTACCATCATGTACTACTCTTTCTGGTAGACTTTTGGATTAAGCAACTGCTAGAATTGAAAAAAAATTAAAAATGAATTAGAAAAAGAGAAAAATCTTATGTTTAGTAAATTTTGATTTTAAAAACAATATCTAAATAGCATTATATATCATATTGCACTGCATAAAGTATTCTCAAAAAATAGTACTCCCTTGATTAAGATCTGAGTATTATTTACCACCCATCTGGTTTAATTCTTGAATAATACCTGGGTATAACTATATTTAATTTATTACTTTCATATGAATATCCTCCACATATAGTATCTGGTTCCTCACATGGTACTCGCAATTACTATTCAATTTAAAAAATAAAGTTCTTGAATAAGACTCTGAGTACTATATGCAGTGCGATATAAAGAATTTTTATGTACTATATTTAAAGAGTTATGGATTAACTTTTTGAATTATATTTTTCTAAAATACTATTTTGCCAAAGCCATAATACTGGCAATCCATTTTATTAATGAAGTACAATTTTGATATATTATTTTTTTAATATATTATTTAACTAATAACTAATCTTTTTAAATAAGTCATTTATTGTAACTACTATTATTATAGTGTATTTATCAAATTAAGCCCAAATTTAAATACCAAATTTTATATTAATTGATTAGCACTAAATCCTAAAATTTTTTATATTTCTGGACTATACCAATGGTGTGTTTAACCTAAATTATAATTATTTTATTTAGACATGGACAGATGGATATCTCCAAGAGAGGACTCAATCTATAATTATGTTGTTACAATACCAAAGTGAAAAGAATATTTAATAAAGCTAGATCATATAATGAGAGTCAGACTGGGCAATTTATGGCAACTAAAATTAGAAAAATATTACAAAATATTGGACTTAAAAAATTCGCAGCAATTGTAACAGACCACAGATCTAATTTAAGAGTTGCACATCAAATTATATATAATGACATTCATCTATTTTAAATTTAAGATGCATATCCCATGCAATTAACTTAATCACTTCAGATTTAGCAAAAATCGATTCTGTTAAAATAGTTATGACTAATTGCAATAGTATTTTAGAATTTTTTCATAGATTAAATATTGCAAATAGTTATTATAAAAAACAAATGGTGGCTATGAAAATAAAAGGTGATGAAATTTAATCATATACTAAAACTCGATAAGGTTCTTTGTATACTACAACAGATTTTATAATTCGATCAAAACCTGTATTTGACTGGGTAAGTAAATAATATTTATTATTTTTTACTATAAGAAAACAATCTGGTAAATCTTAGAGTTTGTTAGAATGGTACTTAAAGTTCAGGTTGATTATTGATATTACTATTCACTACTGCATACAGTATTTTCCAAAAATAATACCTTCTTGATTAAAACCTAGTATTATGCACCACCCTCCTAGCTTAATTCTTGAATAGTACTCAGGGGTATAACTATATGAATTTATTACTATTTATATAATATATCCTCAAATATAGTACCTGCTTTCTCCAGCTTCTTATACAGTTACCTACAGGTACTATTTAATATAAAAAATGAAGTTTTTTAATAAGACCTAGGTATTGTATGCAGTGGCAAATAGTACCATCATAGCATATATAGTACTTATTAAAAAAAAATTTTTTTATAGCTTTTAAAAAATCATACTGAAATTATTTCAAATAATACCATGTTTGATTTACTTCAAAATGAAGAGTTTTATTCAAAGTGTCATCAAATAGCATCTATTCTTAAACTAGTAAAAGAATTAACAAATATTCTTGAAGCTCGCAATACAGATTTAGCAGAATGTTTTATTGGTTTAACAAGACTTGTGACTAGTATTAATAGATTAAAGTCAGGAAATCAGTAGAAAACATTAATGATCAACACTTTTAATCGCCATTCTGAAGAATTTATTAATAATTTCTACATATTAGCCTATTGGCTTCATTCATTATATCGTGGTAATAATAATAATAATAATATATATATGTATGTTTGTACATCAAATTAAAATATATATCAAATCAAAATAATTATATGTAATGCTGCTATGTAATACTTACCCTTACCCTAACATAGGGCTTCACTCTAATCCTATTGAAATTTTGATCTAATACAAATTTCAATTTAATGTACAACATATATACAACAAAAAATCTAGGTTGCAAACTAGTAAAATCTGCTATAGTCATATAGGTAAAATTCAGATCTACATAGCAAATTTTACATATATTAGCTTACAACTTAGTTATTCTGTTCTCTAATAAATATTATTTTTTAATATTTAATTTTTAATTCATTTAAAAAATTTTATTTATAGGTTATGGATTATAACAAAATGCATTAAATAAAATATATGAAACTGTGTCACTTATTTGGTATAATTTTAAGTATACAGAAGCATCATGTTTAAATCTTTTATCAAAAATGAGATTATGAAAGTGTAAAGAACCTCAGTATAATCTTAGTTATAATCACTCTAAAGAAATGCCACTAAAATGATGGATGAGCATGAATGTAGATATGAAAAATAATCAATTACAAGAACTTGCTTTATTTTTATTTTTAATTGTTCCATCCCAGGAAGTCTGTGAAAGAAATTTCTCTACACTAAAATGGCTTTTTGGAGATAAGTGTACACAATTGAATTTATTATGAATTGAATCTATAGCAAAAATTGGATCTTTTTATGTTTCAAATATAGATAAAGAATTGAGAGTTTATAGTAAAGATGCAAATGATAAAGATTTAAAAGAAAATTTAAATAACTTTGTAATTATGCAGCCAACTGAAGATTCAGAAATCGAAGATAATAATGATAATAATTCACAACAAATGTTGACTAATAATTTAAATCTTAGTCAAATCATTGATTTAACTTTACCTAAATTTTTATCAACTAATATTACTTTATTTGAATCTGCTATTAATAGATTATCTTCTCACAAAAAGGCTTATAATTTAGAATGTAGAGAATATGATCTGATTTAGTTAGCACAGCAAATGATAAATAAAGAAAATAATTTGTAATTTTTTATTAACTATATATTTTAGTTTTTAGTATATTTCTGATATATTATTAATATTCATTTATATTATTAAAATTTGCTTTTTGAAAAATTATATATGTATAATAGCATAAAATTTATTATTATTATATTATAATTGTTAATACACAGAAAATTGGTGTTCTGGAAAGTTTTAATGTAAATTGTAATTTTTTTGAGTTGTATATCTAGATGCATAGTCAAAGTTTAGATATACATTAGCATATTATAATTTACTGCAATCTTGCATACAGCATTTTATCTTAGTGTAATAAATTTTATTTAATGCTAATACTAATACATATTTTTTTTATTATACATACAGTACGTATGTAGTGCAATAATTCTATTTTTATCATAAATACTAAATTTAAATAAAATTGATCAAATGCTGATTTTTGCAAATAAAAAAATAGTCTTAGAATCTTGATTTGCTGTGTTCCAACCCAATTATTGTTTGATCAGTGACTTTATCTCAGAGCTTAAGCTTTTATGATACAATACTAACTCAAAGCAATATTAATAAAAAATCTAATCAGGCCTTAACACAAAACCTAGAAAAAAAGGAAGCTAAAAATAATATTCTTTACCAGTTTTTAAGTATCAGTAATACAAATGTTCAAATGTACTAAATACTTTACTAATATTCTGCATCTGATACAAAAAATTAAAAAAAGAAATTCAATTATTGGTTTATATATAAAGCTTTAAAAATATGAATTTGTGTCTGGTAATTGCACTACCAAAGCAGTTTCGGATCCTACTTGTATAATGTTAAAGTTATCATAATTATTGCACTAATTTTAACTACCAAGCTACTTTATGAGGAATGAAAAAAATGAAATGAGAGTGCTAGTCTTCTAACAAAAGTAAACAATAGTGAACTGAAAATAACTATCTCTTGTTGCAATACAATCAATAAATAACTTTTTACTGATTAGCGTATTCACAATCCTTGCTATTCATATGTGCAAACATAAAACTCCTAATCATAGTCTTTTAACTCTATCAATTTAATAATATATATATCAATAATCATAATTTTAAATATGTAATCTTATACCCATTCCGAAAATATCTGCTTCTAAAGTGAATTGAACCAGATAGATTAGTTATGTTACAAAAAATTGTCAGTCTTGTGATATTCAAGCCAGACAAATAGAGCTTTAAAACACAACAAATCAATTGCTTATTATTAATATTTAATAGGATAAACAGCAACATAGTTATGCTAAAATCAGAACAGATACACTGGTAGGTTATATTTGAAGTATAAAATTGATAGCCCAAATATATTTTGAATAGCTTGGATGTAACATGACTAACCTACCTAATTGCACCAGAGTCTACAACAAAGTCACCTGATTTTGCAATAATTTAATTTAACAGTAAACTATATAATAAAATCGCTTAAGAAATACTTTTTATTAAAGTACTAAAGTGCAGTTTTTGAGAGATAAGTTATAGTTGTCTAAAGTAAAATTATATGTATATACAATATGAACTAGAATTGCTTAAATTATTTATGTACTTCCTTTTTTGTACTCTCAAGAATATTATTTTCTCACATTAGTCAATTTAACTTGCTGAATGCCACTTAACATTATCATATGACTTCATGGACATGAATGTCTATGAAGTCATGTAATAATGTTAAGTGGTATTTATTCAGCAAGTTAAAATGTTTTAATATTGACCAGTATTATGCTGAAATATTTGATTTTGTATCAGGTAAATAAAATGTGAATGAAGCAGTTTTATTATTAATAAAATTTCAAAATCATATATTTAATTATTTAAACCAAAGTTAATATTTTAGTTCTTGTAACCTAGATTAGAATTTGTTAAATTTAAGGAAATTTTAAATATATTTACTATCCGAATGATCTGTTTTAAAAATCAAAATCAGTATCACCTGTATCATCAGTTTTACCAGTTGTAGGTTTGTAGTGCAGATCTCCTGATCTATAAATCAGATTTCAAGAATTAGATATAATGTAACATGATCAGAAATTTTTAAAACAAATACTCATTTTGTCAAAAATCACTTATTTCTCAAAAATCTATATAAATAACTTTTAGTACTCTAACAAAAAGTTTTTTTAAACAATTTTACTATAACACCTAACTTTAATATAAATGTGAACCTTAATATTAATGAACTTTAAAGCATTTTGCTTGCACTACTACAAATCTGGTACACATTTTTGACAGTATCGCTAGTATTATTAGTTCCACCAATTTCACCAATTTCATTAATTTTATCAATTTCACCAATATCACCAATTTCACCAGTATCACCAGTATCACCAATTTTACTGGTATCCAATTTTACTGATATCACCAGTTTCACCAGTTTCACCAATATCAGCAATTTCACCAGTATCACCAGTATTATCAGTATTACCAGTATTACCTGTTTCACCAGTATCATCAGTTTCACCAGTATCATTAGTATCACCAGTATCACCAGTTTCACTAGTATTAACAGTATTACCAGTTTCACCAGTTTTACCAGTATCATTAGTATTACCAATTTTACCAGTTTCATTAGTATAACTAGTATTAACAGTTTCACCAAATAACTTTTTAAGTTTCACCAGTTTTACTAGTTTCAACTGATAAAATTAATTAATTTCATTTGCAACTCTAGACCCAAGATACAGGGCAGACTATGGCAACCTCCACAGCTGTGCAAGCCAAGCTTCAAACAGTGAATGACCCTGTAGAAGACAACTTAACATTCCAAGTTCCTGTTCTCAACATTCAACCTTCTGCAGAAACAAACACATGCTATAACAAATTTTTATTTTTACATAATCTACCTACTATACATTATCATATAACATTTGAAGAATTTTTATCTTATTTCTGAAAACATTCTTTTAAACATAATTTTAAAATATCTATTAACCAAAACAAAACTGAACTGCACATATATACTGACCTTTTAGACTCTACTTTTTATAAACACCACTTTATTCAATCTTTCCAATATGAACTTTACAAGTATTTACCTTTGCTAAGAATACCAAATAACACTTTACCCCATACTTACTTATCTTCACTTGACTAACTGTTTTTTGATAACTCATCCTTAGCACCCTCATCTACTAATCTATCATCTATCTTCAATTCTAATTATATAGCCACATCTTCTAGCCTCCACTTCAACAATTATACTCAACCTGCTCCCTAAGTACTAACAGCTAAAACACTTACACCTATGCTATATAAACCACTTTATCTGTCAATATGCACATATAATACATGAGGATACAATGATAACTTAAAACAACAAACATGAAAGAACTACTGTTTATCTCATAATATTCATATTGCTAGCATTACAGAAACCAAAATCTCACAAAACAATGCACATAATAAATTTTCAAGATCTCAACACTTTACCTATTATTGGTTATGTACTGATAGTTGTAAAGCTAGAACAGCTATCATAATCTAAAAGCATCTTAAATCACATGTTTACAAAACATTCAACCTTCCTGAATATGCTATTGCAATTGACCTATTTTTTAAATATGACTTTAAATTTCACATTATATCAGTTTATTTGTCTTGTGATGATCTCCAACTTAGACTTTTTATCTAGAACAATATCATACAATGAATCCAAGAAGCAAACACAAACAATATATAACCAATTGTTAAAGACAACTTTAATGTCTCTGACAACCTACAATTATCATTTATCAAACTTAAACTAATCCATTTTCTTCAACATAATAATATGTATAACTTAGCAAAACATATACAATCTTTGTCTTCTACCTGATATAGTAGCAGATCTAGCAATTGAATTGACTATATCTGGGCCAACCATTCTATTATCTGATATTTAACTTCTTATCACACAAATGATGCCAACCAAAGTACACTCAGTAATCATAATATACTCATATCATCCTGGGAATTTCCTTATACAATTACTGGTAAACAATGATCAGCAACCAAAACTAAGAGTAGAATATTTGTATATAAACAAATGAACCAAGATCTTTGGCAAAACATTTTTGACCAAGTTACATCCAATCTTAAAAACAACAATGCCCTTTCTACAACTAATACTACAGAATCACTTAATGCCTCTTGGCACAAAATTCAAACTAGTATTATTTCAGCTGCTTTGCAACACATTTTAAATAAAAAATTTACTGTTTGTAACTTTTAATACATCTTTTCTTCCAAGGTATCAAAACTACACTTAAGACTTAAAAAACTAGGCAATATCATTAGAAAAGTCAAAGCTTCAATTCAAAACTACAATCCCATATCTGTACTTCACAACTTCGATATTCACCAACTCAATTCTCTTTATCATCTCAATATACCTGAACTGCCTCAGGATTCTAATTTTTTATCTAACTGAATATCTGCAACTAACACTGAATAGAAAACACTTTACTATGCTAGAAACTTAGAAAATATTAAAAATATAAGAAAACAAATTAATGATAACATAGCTAAAAGATGTACTAAACTCCAAAATAGCCCAACATCAATGATTAATAGCATACTTAATCAACACAAAGATCCTATTAAGTTTGACAATATTAAAGAATCTAATAATGTTATCACTGAACCATCACTTATCAAACAGCATATTTAACAATACTTTGATGATTGGACAGCCCCTTGAAACATCTAATTACAACTATTTAACACAATGTGGCAAAAAAAATACCAACCCAAACCTAATATCGATTCTACATGTTATCAACTAGCACTTAAGAAATTCTCTTTTACAGAAGTTCTTAAAGTTATTAATTAACTTTCTAACAACAAAATATGTGGACTATCAGGCATCAGCTATGAGATGCTCAAACATGCTAGAACAGCATTCCTTGATACAATCACAGCTCTTTTTAATTACTGCCTTACATTTGGTCAAATTCCAAATTAATAGAAAGAAGGAAGAATTTT